ATGTGCGTGACAGAACACTGCCCTCGATTACAAAAAACTTTCCGGCAACCTACAAAATGCCAAAATTTCCAAAACATTGGATAAGGAAGATATGCCAATCTGTTTTCTACAAAGTACATAAAATAATTGAGGCCAGACAGTGACTTTGGGTTGGCTTATCTCCACACTTTTATCTCGTTCTTCTCAACTCATCACAACAAGCAGCAGGCCCTGCCTGCGCTGTCACACTGGCACTTACCATCTCAGAGATCTATCATGCTCCCATATGTGACAGAACATTTTTTTCCCATAATTCCAGCAGCATGTTAAAGGAATGCTGGACATGCAGCTGCACCTCTATTGAGGCTTAAAATCCTCTGAACACTTGAACAGGGTTGATAAACCATAAGTGTGAGAGTGAAGCTGTTTATCAATGTCAATGGAAAAACTGGAAAACTCTTCCCATGAACAGATGAAATGCATCTTGTTCCTTCCAATAGATGCACATATGCTTTTAAAGAGCTGGATTTAGGAGGTTGCTTGTTAAGAATTGATCACAAGCCAACTGAGTGCTGCCCTTAGAAATACAATCCACGCATAAAAGCACAGTAGCTTGTGATGTTTGTCCTCAAATCCCAGATTCAATGTCTCACTAAGGCATATCTAGAATCCTATTTGTTCAAATGGCATCAGTCTTAACTCTTTTTTACTGGAATAATAGTTCAAAAGACACTCACTTCTTGACTAGCCTTCACAGAAAAAGGTCAAAGAATCCCATAAAAACCCATACAATAAGCTGCTTATGAATGTCAGCTCAGGGTCTGTGAGAAAGGGATAGTAATAAGGATGCCGGATTCTGTCCCACACTGACTTCAGACACAGAGCTGTGCAATTCAAACTAGAAAAAAATGAGATCAGTGTTCTCCTTTGCAGTAGCTCTGTTGTGCCTAATGGAGAGGGGAAGAGGCTTGGATTGGTGATAAGATCCACATTGTTAATGCCCACTATCAACTTGCTTCAAGAGCCAGAAGATATCACTGGACTCGTGAATTTCTAACACATATCATTCGCCTTTTACTTAATAGCACTGAGCTCTGTAAGCCATAACCATGCTTAAAAGAAAATCTTCAATAGAAAGCACACAATTCTCAAAGTCATTATGTTCATGCGTTGTCTCTTCATCTTTTAAAGGAAACCATCTTGTTCAGAAGATGACAAATATATGACTCCAACACCCCAAGTAGCATTCCTGCTTCCTTGTTGTTTTTGGTGGCCTAATATCCCATTAAAATTATATTTGCAAGGCATAAACAACTATTATCCAGCCTTGGAGATCACACATCCTTTAAAGACTTTCCATGATGTGTCAGGCTTAACTGAGAAAAATAAAAGATGGTAATATATTTAAAGATGCCTAAAAGCTACTTTATAAAATAATTCAAATACCGCAAAACAGGAATTTAGATATCTGTCTTCATCCATCTTATCAGCAATAATGAATGAATTACCACCTTATTCATTAAGATTGGAAAATTTTATTTTTCCAAAGGCAGGCATTTTGCTAATTACTTGGAGATTTTATCATTAACATTCTAGTTAACATGACCACAACACATGCTCCAAAAACCTGTCCCCTGGGAACTAATCTCTGGTAAACCAAATACTAACCCCATGACCTTACAAAAAGACAAGACAAGAGGAACTATAATAGATTATTATGGATGTCTGTGAAGAATCAGACAATTAACACCAATTTATTCCAGAATTTATATCAGAAACTAGCAGAATACTAATTTCCTCTCCAAGACAACACAAATTGAAAATATAAAAACTGCCAATTAATAAAATGAGAAATGCTACATGACAAAATAGTATGGAAAATAGTGTGTAAAAGAAATGTTAGAAAATATTCTCCCAATTATGACAAGATACAACAATGTAGGTATAATATTATATATAATTCACTCTTTCATTTACCAAAAAAGACTGGGAAAAATCTATCTCAATATTCAAAAGACCTCTGTAATTGTAACCAATCAGTACCTCAATATTTTTGTTGTTGTTGCTTGGAAACAAAAGAGCTCTATTTTAATCAAAGGAAGATCAGTGTAATTCAGCCGGGTTTACCACTGGCAAGTTGCCTACATTCCTGAAATTAAATTTGACCTCAAAGTGTTCTCAAATTAAAAAATAAGGGTGTCAAATTACACTTTAACACACCTCATTTTTACATAGTGACTTAATACTGCATCTCACACTGTGCCACACAGTACTCGGTCCCAAGCACAAATGCCCTCATCCTGTGATTAGCACCAGTAACTCATGACTGAGACAAAGAATATAGCACCTAGTGACAAGCAGTTTCCTTCCCCATGTACACTGAGAGAGTCTGTGTGCTGTGTTCTTCACACAACTTGAAAACTTTTTAACATACTAAACAGTCATGATAAAATAACAGTGCAAAACCTTTGTACAAAGAACCAACTGGCCTTTCAGTAAGCCCATGCTGCAAATGCAGTATCTTAAAACATGCATTTGAGACTAGATATAACTACTTTAGCCACTGTCAATGTCCTTGTTTCATATAGGGTATGCTATTAAAACGTTATGGTTAAATAACCAACTTTAAATGTGCAGATATGTCAGTGTTATCCAATTTTAATAATTATTGTGCATGGATCCAAATTACTCTTTGATTACTCTTTACCTCAAAGATGATATGTAAAACAGAAATAAATTACTTGAACAACTGAATAGGTAACTGTCCATCTTCCTTCATTCTGTAGTGGTTTCCTAGTCCTACAAGACACTGAAACACTTCCAAAAAGAAAAACAGAAAGCTGTGCTAACAGGAATGTATTCTTCAAATGTGTTCATTCGCCATATGATACATCTATCCACATAACCAAGACAACATGTCTTCAGGTGAGCAACAAGAAAAGACCAGCCAGAGCAGTTTTCAGTTCAAAGTCTGGGGGTCATTCTGAAGCAAGAATAAAAATCAGAAAGTGACCTCTGAACTAATTTCAGCAACAACACTTTCTGTGAAGTATTTACAGAAGGTTCTCTGTGTTAAATACGGTCGAGACTTCAGAAGACAATTAGTATAAAATGCTTTCATACGAGGAGACATATGGAAATGGGCTGGCACGTTGAATCCCTGAGGTTATCTGAACTATAGAGTAGATAGCCTTTCGCAGTTCACGATGCAAGCATTTTCATACCACATTTACGAATAATTTGAGCTTTTACACGTACCCTAATTCAAGCTCTTTTCGAAATGATTATGTGCTTGCATATGTAAAAGTCATGTTGTTGACTTAATGTACGTTGTTTCCCGATTCCCATGTTATCCATGCATGGCCATTAGGAACATAGAAAAACAATAGATTATTTTTAATTGATACCTATAGCCTAATTTATGGTTAATTCGGTTTCCTCTTTATAAAACAAGCTCAACAGAAAAGTAGTTGCATGGCTCAATACATGGTTGTTCCATCTGCATTATCTATTTCCAGTTTACAAAAATAATCTCGGAAAACATTACTCTGCTATTTGCTCCAAAAGAGACAATTTCATGTTTTCGTTGACTACTCATTGTCAGCTGTTAAGAAAGATAGAGACCGAAAATATTTATATGAAAAATAACCAGCTCTACTTTCTTCGACTTCTCTGCAGTGGAATTTCATCTGACGTCATTTATTTGGTATCGAATTTCTCCCGACCATGATAATCTACTTCTTTTTCTCCAATGTGCCCCCTGGATCCAGACATGTTTTAAAGACTTCAAACACACCTTCAGGCTATGAATTCCTGAATAAATGTGTCTTTCAGAAGCGCCTCACCTGAACGACATCTGGCACGACCAAACCCTCAAAGAAACGTGTCAAAGAAAATTCCTTAAGATCTCCACCAGTTTCCCCAATGCCAAGCAAATACCAACACCAAACCCCCACCCGTGTTTTTTTTCTTAATTTACAAACGGATTCGTCTTACTTTGTAAATAAAAAATATCAACCACTACAAAAGGAGATCAAATGCGATCTCAAAGACCTGCTTGGTTAAAAAAAAAGAAAGTACGAAGCAAATCTCAATTCTCTTCAGACAAAGAGCAGTTCTAGAATTGCAACGTATTCAATACTGAAAGTCTGATCTCACCTACTTCAACCCAGAAAATCTCAGACTTTCCACAGACAACAGAAACGTCGTTCTTTTCAGCTGTAACTTGACACAGGCTCTCTGGAATACTAGGGCATGATGGAGTTGCCCCTTCAAGTAAACTCTCAGTTCGCAAATACGAAAAAGTTCAACATCCGAATTAATATTGCCGATAGAATACATATCTTATTATTTTGGATACTGTAGAAATTTTGTTAAAGAGTGTAATCAGTATAAGAAACATCTCAGTAAATAGAGGCTATCCGCATTCTCGTTAACGCCTTCTAGATGCACAATCTCTGATTTTCTTTTTTTTTATTATTATTATTTTGTCAAACTATTACTTTTCTGTAGTCGAAAATAAAAGCATCCCAGCGCTAAGTACCATGAACTGTTACAAAGTTAACAACTTGTCTTCGGGAATAAACATTTCCTCTCCCTTTCATAACAAAATGGTTAAGCGAAACAATGTTACAAAACTCTTGCGCACTAGACTTTTCACACCACAGCTCGCTATCAAGGGGGAAAAATCTGACTTGGAACAGGGTCTGTGGGCACATCGCATGAAAATACTGAGCATTCCCCCCAACGTCTTCTTTTAAAAAAAAAAAACAGTCGTACATATTTAATAATGTCGAGTAAATACGTTAGAATCGTTTTTCAACCCAGCAGAGCGCAAAGTTTCGTTTTCACGAAAGACGAGTTTTGCTTTTTATTTTCGGCTCAGCCTACCGGCGTCTTTTCACTCCAGACACCACATCTCAACAACTTTATAACTTTAAAAAGATCTGCTATCTTTCGTCCTCACTATAGAAATGATACCGTGTATAGCGTGCAGTTGATAAAGGTGTTGTTTTTCTTACCTTGCTGCAATAAAATTATCTTCAAAGGACAATAGATCTCCCACTTTTTCTCCAGTTTAAGATTTTGGCAATTCCCAGAGTATCTGCCCACCGTAAAATCGTTCAGTAGGGAATTCCTCCATGAAAATTAACTCTCAACGCACATGGGGCAGAGGACCCGCCCACAAATGCCGTATAACACCGAATATTTCCACGCATCTAAACTCACTTCTTTTAAGTTATCATAAATACTGGAAAATAAAAGCTAACATTTTCCGTGTGAACTGCAAGAATAGATATTCTCATTGGAAACACGCTAAAAATAAAAGAAATGGAGACCTTCCGTCATGTGCACAAACAAATTAATCAAGGATCTGGTACAGGTATACCTGTATAATACAGTATATGAATGTACAGTATGTATATATGTTCAAACACACAAGCCTCCATGTATAGCACGAGTGTGCGTATCTTCTGCAAATGAATGTAAACTGCACTAGTATTTTAATTTGCTCAAAATCTACATGTAAAAAGTCATTAATAAGGTGATACATAATAAACAATAAATGTTTAAGTAGTATAATATGCTGATATTAGGCATCGGAAAACATGTCTTTGAAAATAACTTTTGGTTATTCTGAAGCAATGTCTAACACCAGGTAAGTAGGACCGGTGCCAATTTCTGGCGATGATGCACAAACAAGAACTCGCTTACGCATTGTGTGTGCATGGCGGTGAGACAGATTGTGGAACAGAATCTGTGTCAGGAAATCCCGTGATACGGGTTTACTGGAACTCTCTAATGCTGATTAATGAAACTCGCTCCCTCGAGCTCACTGAGATGTACTGTATGTTCTGTTATAGAGAAGTTTTACTTAGTCTTTCCCCGGACCTTTGTTGTGCAGAGGTGACGTGATCTGGAATGACATTATAAAACACTCTTGGTACTGGCGCCCTTTCTGACAGATTGCTCGGGTACAGAATGATGAAATTCCCCATTCAGGTTATTTTCCTGTATCAGGAGTTAAAATGTTCATCCTTTTTATATAAATTAGTTGCCAGAACGATCTAATCCAATATGGTTTATTGTGCAATGTATTCAAAATTGTTGATTTATTTATTGAATGTTCAGTTCTGCATATCTTTTCCCTTATTCTGTTCTAATGTTTTTCTTTGTTCAGATCTTTTAGAGTGTATCCACAAAGGCTCTCAATATAAAATAGATTATTGTGGTAGAATACTAATGTATAGTCCAGTACATACAATTCTACAGAAAACCATAGTATTCAATAGAACATTGCAATATTTTAAAAACCCTACAGCTAATAAAATGATAGGTGGACCAGAGATAAAGTCAGTGGTTTTGATATAGTCTTGTGGTATGTGAGTTCCAAAATCTAAAATCTGCTTTAATTTGACAATGTGATTCTAACTAAAATGAAATATTGTAATTTTCAGTATAATATTAGGATTTTGAATTGCTAAGTTGCAGTTTTTATATAGGCATGACTATAATGAACATTAACACATGCACTCATTCTAACCTAAGTCAGCAAGAGGTTGGTTACAATTTTTAACATTTTAAGCATGCCAGAGTTTCTAAAGAATGCATTCCAACAGGATACTGTATCAAAAAATAAATAGAGAAAATGTGCTATATATTTCACATTGATTAAGTTTTTTGTGGCATTGTATTTGAAGAAAAAAAAACTCTTATCTCTTGTACTGCAAAGGGAATGCAGGCTTCATTTTAAGATTGTACAATAATTTGCAAACCTCATCCATTTAGAATGCTGTGTATAACTTTGGTCACCATGTTATAAAAAGGTTACTGATGCTTTTGATACAATATAGTATTAATTTCTGTCACTTAATGAATGGAACTGCATCTCCTTAGCCTCGAGCAGAGATGAAAAAACTTGTTACTCTACCTTTATTAACAATGTCAAACCAGAGGACTATAGATACAGTATGACCAGGACTAATGGCATGACCTCCTCACTGTCTTAATCAGTGTCTTGAGTGTGTGGGATCTTCCTGATGGGGCATAACTCTAACTTCTAGTTAACTCTAACTAACTCTAACTTCAGCTAAAGAAACTAACTGGGACTTAGAAAAATTGATGGAAACCAAGGGGAACATCCAACGCAATGCTTTGTGAAACCGAAACAGCCTCTCAGGATACAGAGTGATCCACTTCTGCAGGAGGCAATCAAAACAAAAGTCATATTCTGTTTTGAAACAGGATACATTTGTACAATTAACAGAATATTAGAGGAAATTGTGGTTCTTTATTGTTTTTCTGCAACAGAACATTTGACTTACAACACTATAAGACATTCCCAGATTTTTTTGAATATCACTCCTCTGCAAATTTTTTTTAATTCTTAATCTTCATATTTTTAAACATGAAGACATAATGAAATAATTGAAACAAGCCCTGTAAACATATTCTGGTGTTTTTAAATTGAACTCATCTGTACACTTTTAGAAAACCTCAGTTTAGACAAACAAAATTCCAGAAAGACCCCATGAACCTGAACTAGACTGTCTTCTTGAGGTGCTGCATTCTTTGTATTGTGCAATGCCCTAATTAAATAACCATGCTGACTCATTGTTAATTATATATTTTTTTTAATTTATATGATCGGTTTTGCAATATGTGTCTCCACATAGAATATTTTCGTAGTCCAAAACTGTTGGGGTTAGACTGAGGGTGGATGTTGGATCAGGTGCATAAGCATGTGGATGAACAAAATTAAAACTATTATTAGGCTCTTATTTACTGGTTTTGTCATAATGACCGTTTGTGCTATACAAGGTGAAAGAATGACTCTGTATACTAAATATCACATCAAATATACCATGCTATGAATGTGAGTTTTTAGAAATGTAAACTGTACATACTTTGGATATCGATTATATGCTTTTGGCATTTTGATTAATATATCTTTTATAACTAACTGAGATACATTTGGGTAAATATGAGTGTTTCATCAGCACAGAATCGGCACATCAGAGAGAGAGTTGATTTGGTACAGGTCATGAGGTGATTTAATCTGTTTGGCATCATGACCAGTGAAAATCATACAAGAAAAAAGTAATAAGGAATCAATAAGTTTTGCTTATCAAGAAACAGAGATGTGCTTGTCCAGACACTACAAGAGGAACTGGACAGAATCCCACAAGACAGTATTTGTGTTCTGGTGCAAAGTACATGTGACAGGCTGTGTTTCTTACATTAGTGGCCACACACACTTTTAGCCATTGTTTTTCATAGTACACCACCTCTTGATCAACCCTTTTGATGCTATTGAAGATTAATAATAATTGCTTACACTTATATAAGCTCTTTACAGGTAATGGGGACTCCACTCCACCACCAATGTGCAGCCCCACCTGGATGATGCGACGGCAGCCATAGTGCACCAGAACGCTCACCACACATCAGCTATCAGTGGGCAGGAGAGCAGAGTAATGAAGCCAATTCATAGATGGGGATTATTAGAAGGCCATGATTGGTAAGGGCCAACAGGAAATTAGGCCAGGACACTGAGTTTACACCCCTACTCTTTTCAAGAAACACCCTGGGATTTTTAATGACCACAGAGAGTCAGGAACTCGGTTTCCCATTGAAGGACGGCGCCTTTTTACAGTATAGTGTCCCCGTCACTATACTGGGGCATTAGGAGCCACACCGACCGCTGGCCCCACTTACACCTCTTCCAGCAGCAACCTTAAGTTGTCCCAGGAGGTCTCCCATCCAGGTACTGACCAGGCTCACATCTGCTTAGCTTCAGTGGGTTGCCAGTTTTGAGTATGGTGCATTTACAGTATCTGTGTCATGTCAATTCAAATGCCATTAATCCTGGAAAGATGTTGTAATTTTCTGAATTTGTTAGTTTTAAGTGATGTTGATTTTAAGGCTAAGTATATATGCATTTGTATTGCAGTTATGTTTCAGATATTACAATTGAAATGCTTTGTTAAAATAAGGCATGTTTTGCTTGCAAGAAACTGATATTCTCTGAATAGTTCATTCCAAAGTTATTCAGTAAATTCTTTTTTTATTGTGGCACCATGATATTGTCGTTACAAAAATATTTGTGTAAAATTTAATCAAATGTTTCACAGGAATAAAACGTGTCAAAATTGTACCCAATACTGAAGACAGGAAGATCTTCTATAAAGAAATCAATACATTGGGTTAAAGAATTGCACTAGGTTCTAGATCAGACTTTCTGTAAAAGACAGTTGTTGTTTTTTTCATCTGGAAGTGTACTGTGAATTTTCTTACAGGTACTGTGGAAACCAGGTGCCTTTTTCTTAGGATTTGGTTTGACAATTAAACCTTTCCAACATTAGCCCATGGCAAGACAATTGCATTTGATGCAATATTTTATTACATGAGAACAAAACCATTTATTTAAAAGAAAGCAAGCAGAAAAAATAATTGTGTGATTAAAGGAATGTCCTTCTCGGTGTCAGAATCAGTGTTCTAGGTTATTGAATGTAAGTTCAGCAATGATTTATGTATCATTCCCTGCAACATTTTTCCTAGTGTCAGAACACCAGTCTGAAGAATTTCAAGCCATTTGTACCACCAATGGCTTTTAACCAATTAACCCATTTTCCTTTATAAATTTAGACATTGCATTAGTTAAGCTTCTGCTTTTGATTAGCTATTTAACCAAACACTCGCAAATCTGGTTTGGGTTAAATACCTTGTAAGACATTATTGGAAAGTCTGCATATTTTCCCTTAAATGATTCTTAACTCTTAAGTAATTCTGAATTTGACTCATTTTTCTTCTAACTGTTTCCACATGTTTTTTTTTTCTAGTAGATATGGAAAGTGGCACCAAGGTCTAAAGTAAAATAGAGAAGATGTGTTGAGTAACTTATCATAATATCTATAGTCTTATAAATTTGAACTAATGGGGGAGAGAAAGTATTGAGTTTAGGTGAGTTTAGTTATTCAAGTAGCAGAAAAGAGCACTATTATAAGCAACCTGTACCGTTTTCAGTTCTAGATTTCAGATTTTTTTAAACATCATAAAACAGGATACACAGCCATTTAATCCTTGTAAGTCACTGTATTTTTCTGTTCAATTTTTTACTGTAACAAAACCAGTAGCAATAA